AAAACTCTCGAATTAATCGACAAAAATACATCATGGTCAGAACAAATACCAAATAGTACATTGAAATAACGATTAAAACATGTCAGAGTGTTTTATTGAAAAGAACAATGAAATCATTTACAACAGAAGTGATTACCAGCAAGCCTTGGGTGTGAGATCTAGTCACCCAGAAAGCATGACCGCAAGATCTTCATGCTCCTTTGCACAACCGCAATAATAAATCTAATTAATCATTCTTCCAATCATAACAAATTAATCTCCAATTAATCGTTTTTTTTACACATTTCCTGCCATACGAACGCAAAGCTTCGCCTGGAGGTATCATTTGTTGTTGTTGCCAATATCGTGCTGTTGGTAGGAAGTGGAAAAGAATCTTTTTTTAAATCTTTAAATTTTTGATTGATGTTTCATTAATATATATTTGTTAGGAAATAATGCAATGATCGATTAGATTTCACATTTAATTATATTCTTTTATATCTAATGTGTGTGTCATACACAATGATTCAATATTTATTTATATAATTAAACATACAAATTTATTGATGGTTTATATTGAGATATTATCTTATTAATCTCCTTTAAAAAAAGATTAGTGATCATAATAATGCATTTCTCTAATATAGGAAATGAAGTATTTTTCATATATTCATTTTTTGTGGCATCGTTTACTTCTACACTTAACTTTGTATTTTCATGAATAATCTTTAGGGTTGAATTTTAAACAAAAAGGTATACCTTGTTCACACACAAAATTAAAAAATAAAAATCATTATGAAGTAGCAGAAAGCGTTAACAGAATTAATTTGTCATACAAGTGATATTTTGTTGTTATTGGCAAATGGTAATTTCTCTGGAAGCATTTACTTATTTTGTTTAATTTTCCAATATATATAAAAAATATATTTACCTTTAAAGACGAAGGTTAAACTTGCCGTCCATCCCAATATTAATCAAATTCTTATATCTAATTCTTGTCTATATCTCTCATGCAAATATAGTTTCTTCTTTTATCACAATGAGGGGAAAAAAAACAATTATTATTTAAATAATGGCTTAGTTTTGTGTGTATGTGTGAAATGATGAGAAAAATACCGTTTTCATCTATTAATTTGATATCGGAGAAATATTTGGAAAATTTGAATGATTATCAAGTGAAATCTCGTCATTTTTTGCAACATTTTAAATATTTATTTTACAAATATATTCGAAATATGTGCTCGTTTTCTTATTTAGCTATTTCAAACATCATATATTCAAATTTGTGAAATGTCAATGGTTGCGACGAAGAGAAATATCAAAGGCATTCAGACTGGTTGCAATTAGACATGTATGAATGCACTACGAAGAGCCCTGCCCCCCAGAACAATGGCAGCTAGGGAGGGACACTTAATTGGGGAAGCGCAGGAGACCTCAGCCCAATCAGGAAAGACCTTCACACCATATAATCAGTGGGAGGAACTTTTTTGTGGTCGTCGCCAGAGAAAATGACGGGCTTTCCGTGCGGGATAATAGTTGCGGTGCCTTCTGCGAAGACGGCCGTGAACTCCCCCGTCTCCGCATCCCTAATTGCACCTGCAAAAACCTCCGAACCTCTGGAATTCTGGCCGCCCGCCCCCTGCAGTCCCTCTCTATTGGCAGCTTTGAACTGCCATTAATCTTGTGGCGTTCGAATTGGTCACTATGGTGTAATAAGTATGATTGGCGGGCGGCGTCTCTCCATTCCCTGACATTTCATAAGATCGGTCGCTTTTCAGAATAACTCCTCTCAACCAATGACATACAGGGCCCAGGTTTCCTCAGAGTATCGCCTCTTTACCTGAAGTTGGAACCATAAATCACCTTGTAGAATTTTGGCCGTCTCGTCATGTATCTTGACAGCACATCATGTAAATTTTACCCTTCAATCTAGAATACTATAAATGTAAATAATAATGTAAATACATTTTTAAATTTACTTTTCTTAAAATTTTCGATATTTTTATTTCTGAAATACAATATGTAATATAGGGTGGAAATTTCAACAGAGGTAATTATCTAATGAGTGCTGTCTGCTTAAGTCTTTGTAATAAATTGCCCTCTCTTCAGATTCGATATTACCCCTTATGTTGCAATTCATAAACTATAAAGTTTAGAAAACTAAATATTTTTTTATCATCTTTGAAAATGCAATAATTATTTAAATAAATTGAGTTACATCTATTAAATCATATAAAACTATATATTGTTTGGTTTTAAATATTGTTGACACTAAAACCTTGAAAAGAATGAAATATTCTCCGAAAAAAAAAAAAAACTTCTGATTTTTTTTCTTATAATACCTTTTTTTTTTATTTTGTATATTTACACATAATAATCTACTTACACATATAAAATTTACATATTTTTAGAATAGTTAAAATAAATTATAATAGCAATATATAAAATTATTATAGTTGCATTTTAATATAAAAATTGCAATTTTTTAATATATATGCCTATTAATTTTGATATTCATATATTTATTTTGATAATATAAAAATAATGTTTGGGAATAAAATACTAGCGAGTTCAAATTATATTTTATATAATATGTATATATCTTGAAGAAAGAAGTTGCTGTGAAGTGAATTCATAGATATCTCTATATATATAAAAATGAATGTTTGTATGTTTGTCTGTCTGTTTGTATGTCCGGTATACAAATTCGCAGTAGTTCACTAATTCAAACCAAAATTTCCATACATAGGTAAAAGAATACGGGGAAGACGATAGGCTATTTTAAAAAATATATAAATCAATTATTAAAACTATATATTTTTAGTCAGAAAATGATGATGACGATATCGCTGTATCATGTTTGATTATCAGATACAAAATTATATCGGGAAAAATTCCAAAAAGCAGAGACCACGGGTGAAACCAGTTCATTATTTTGTATGCAGGAACAAAATTCTAACAGAAAAACATTCATTAGAGCAGAAAACAAAAGCCAGATCATCTTTCTATAAAAATATCGCTTCTCAGACACAAAGTTTGGAGCGGGACGTTTCACAAGAGTGACATCCACGGCGCCAATTTATAATTGTAACGAATAGTATTTGAATAGGGTACATTTAATAGGGTAAAACCCGGGCGTTGCCCGGGTCATTCGGCTAGTTTAAAATAAGAAACACTTCGGCAAAGAAATGTTTTATTTTCTCGATATTTCGAATCTTAGAGAAAATAAAACTTGTAGCCGAAGTCTTTCTTACTTTTAAGAAACATTTACAAGTATACACTTGTATACATTTATATATATGAAAAAATAATACAAATGTGATATTGTACTGGGATAAGGTGCAAAAATGATGAAAAAGGCATCTTCTTATCCTACAACTGAAAGTTGCTGATCGGTATAAATATCGATGGGTATTTAGCCACTTCTGAAATAATTAGAAATCAACGAGAATAGTTGGTATTTATTCCGATAGAAGACGGCAAGCCATCAGCAACTTTCAGTTGCACGATAAGGAGATGCCTTTTTCAGATAATATATATCGCGTTTATTTATACAAAACATTGTTAAGATCTAGCCAGAAACAAACATGAGCCATTCTGTATTAACTATAAGGTAAAATATTTGATTCTAAATTCTCTCAGGTTGTGTACCACATATCATCATATTATGAACTATGTACTTATCCCTATATATAATAGTTGATAAATTTTATATTACTTATAAAATATTCAACGTCAAACCTGGGTTGGGCGTTCCCATTTCCCCAAGAGAAATCGCATTCTCCCTAGAAATATTATATATTTGACTTTTTTATATTTGAAGTTATAGATGTAAACTCATTTGACACTCATATGGAGAGACAAACGATTTCCAATCAAAATCTTAGTAAAGAAAACGTCCTAGGGGTTGTTTGATATTATAATAAATCTATCATATTAATGATAATGTATTCAAACATTATTTATTGCTGCATATTCCTTGGTTTTATTGTATTAATAAAATAAATAAAAATAAATAGCGAATATATATACCCGCTTTGCCCAGTTTTTACCCAAGTGAAAGTTTGCCTAACGAATCATTAGTTAAAGCAACATCTTCGAGGAAAGCATCTACTCCCTGCTGAATCTATTCCTGTCAAGATAAATTGTGTTTGTTACTTTTCTCCACCAAAACTGATGAATGAATCATTGGGATATTTTGCATATAGGTAGCTGAATATATATAGATTTACATATTAACTATTCAAAGACAAAATTAGACAAAAACCTAACACATTTTACATATGTTCTAAAATTGTGAAATTATATAACAATTTTATAATTATACTGACTCGGAATGATTCAGCCTAACCCGGCTTCTCCTCTAGTGAATGTTTCCAGGCGATATATTTGATATAAAAATGTTATTAATTATATTGTTATCACTTTATAATTATAAACAATCATGAAGATTTCAAATAATCTACCATTAATCAATAATGGGTATTTGGCCAATTCTGGAATAATTAAAAATCAACAATAGTTTATATTTAATCCGATAGATGGCGGAAGCCAAAAGCAACTTTCAGTTGCATGATAAGAAGATGCCTTTTTTTCTTTTATTAATTTATGAACCTTATCCCAGTACAATGTAACATATTTTCACATGAGATAGACCTACCATTCATGATAAAATTGTGAAAAAAGTTTTAAAATTACAAAATATTTTCTTACAATGATATTGTGAAAAAATATTTTGTAATTTTAAAAATAGATCTACCATTGTTATTATTATCATCATTTTGTATTTCATTTTCAAATCATTTCACTCAGGATGTGTGTGTGAAAATAAGAGAGAGAGATGCAATCATTATATTAAAAAAATTATTAAAGCATTTTTCGTTGGACACAGATTCACTCTGAGTGAACCCGGGGCGGTGCAGGGTCATAATATATAATTAGGGAAATTTTATTTGATTTTAACATTTTATTTTATACATTTACACTCGGATAAATATGTATTCGAGTAAATCCCGGATTTTGCCCGGATATCATTCGGCTAGTTACAAATAATAATTCTGGACATGGCACCTGCCCGGTAAGCAGAAGGTTGTGGGTTCGATTCCCGCCCCTGGACACTTTTATTTTTCCGTTCGCCATTACTCTTCATATTGTCACCCTCTCATACTTCATTCAAAAAAGTTAGAAATAGTAAATATTTCTCTTTGAAATAAATATTGATTTTTCACAAAAAAAGAAACTTATGCGGTGTAACTTTAAGTATTGTTTAGTATCATTATTATTATAAAATATAATAAAATATTAAAATTTTTATTATCAATGGATTATATATTTTAATAATGATCCTCACCCCCCGAATACATCATTTCAGTATGTCGTTGAGGCCTGTACCATGTGGATCAGCAGTCTGAAACACGTGTTTCATTAATATATTTGATCAATAAACAGATATGTACAATTTAAATTAAATAAATCAAGGTTTAATTTATATTTATTACAAGAGAAGGAATTATAGGTAACTTTCAAAGTTCGGAAGATGATTTTATCATCATTTTATCTTCTTATCTTTTTTTTTTTGGCTTTTCTATTTTTCCATTTATATAAATACAGTGAAAATGCAATGAACAGTCAATCTGAGATGAGCACTATCACTTTTACAAAATCAAAAAAGACAAGTCCTGATCTATATAATGCAACATCAAATAAACGATCACTTCCTGAAGCGCCCAAAAGCATCTATGGTTTTCTACAATGAGTTCTCAAGGTCGGCTCTACCGTACCTGGCTTCAACTGTACTCTACAAAGTCAATCAAATACGCACTTGAGTATATTTCTAAGTGATACTTCACGTCAATGAAGCTACTTTGAATCTTCATCAAATGAGTTGATCAAATTTGCTGACCATCACCGTAGTTCAAAAGAAGCGCTATTGTGAAATAAACAAAGAAGGAGATTGATTAGAGTCAACAAAATGCCACTGAGAGGATGAGTACAACTTTGCATATTTACGGCGATGTTTATCAACTCGATGTCTATCGGAGAGGGACGTAAACATTAACTTCGGGGAATCATTAGGCGCGCGGGGACAACGCCCTTCTGTTTGTCCTTCCTTCCCTTCAGACTTCCGAGAGATTCTTCTAGTAGGAAGAGAGGATTCTCTTTCATTTATATCTGTACACATTGTATAGGTCATGATAATCATGATTGGTATATATATTGGTTATGGTGTGTGGTAACAGAACGAGCGCTTATTAAGAATGGCTAAACATTTTGCACATTTCCAACTTCAATAATCAAATTACTGTAACAGGTGAATTTATCTGAAAAATTTTCATATTTTTGCCAATTTTTTGATATCATAATATTTAAAATATATAGGTTCTATTCAAAATAACGTTTGTTCACCTAATTTTGGATAGCATTGTAGTAACTAACGTTTGCGGCGAAAATAACAGCAAATGAAATCTCAAAATTATCAAACAGAATGATTTTATGTGAAGACCCATTTCATGTTTTTTCTTATTACCACAACCTGATAGAACATCAGACCAGCTCCATAGGTTAGTAGTGTTTTAGAAGCATGTTAATCCTTTCTGGGTTTTCTCAAAGATTCTGTTTTGATGCTTTGATGCTTTAATATAATCAAGGATTGGGACTATCGTTTTTGTATTTATTTTATGTTGGGAATGTCTTGATTTTGCCCGTAAACTTGATAGAATTGAGGTAACCGTCTTGAATCAGGAAATTGTTGACTGATCTCCTCTTCTTTCTGTTAATTTATTTGAATGTATACCAAAAGTAGAGCGAGGGTATTGTTTAGCCGAGAAAGATCACCAGGGTGGCAGACAGGATCAGTACGGCCACATGTTTTCTCCACAGAATATCTGAGGGGGCGGAGGAAGCAGTCAAAAAGGAAGAAGCCCATCTGGTGGCTACGAGTGAAGTCGTCCTCCCTGTTGCCGACAGCGGCTGTTAGATGATGTTTTCTGCCTGTTACATGCTTTGTTCAATATAATGCACGAAGGTAAATAAAGAGGAGTCGAACAGAGATCCGTACCGATCACGTTTGCTCATTTGGACCATCCTCGATACAGCGGCGGTGGTGGCGCAACCGAAATATTCCAATTTATAAAACAACTATGCTTAAAAGCATATCTTTTTCTTTTTGGTCAGTAGATAGTGAAATTGAGGTCTGCATGCTTCTTTTTCAAATCTATCTGCAGTCACATTTCTATTACATGCCTATGCGGGATGGAATCTATTGAAAGTTGAGCTTACTTTTATATGAGATATTCTTCAGATTATCAATTATTCTAAGCGTCGTATTTCGTCTGTGACAGGCTAGTAATATTCTGTATAGGCTGAATGATACTAAACCTATCTGTGAGATCTATTTATTGTTTTGTCATCTCATTCTTTAATCCGATTTCTATGGCCTTCAGTTCATCCCTGAAATTCCATGTATAAAGGGTCTGAATTTCTGAAACTATTTTTTCTTCACACTTTATGATTAGAGCTTCACTAAAGAGAACACGATCATATTTGGATATTTACTACCCTCAACATATATAGATCGGTTATTGGAATTGAATTGGTCATTCTTTATAACTTAGTTGAAGAAAAAAGTCGATTATGGTGTTTCATGGACCGTTTCAGAAAAACTTTATTTAATTTTCGGAACATATTTGCTCTAAAAAGTGAATTTTAGACTTCAAATAGCGATATTATTTTGCCACAGTTTGTTTCTACATAGATTGTGCTGAGTTCATTCATTACTCACGTATATGAATATATAAAGAGAAACAAGCCAGTGAGTACTCCTATTTCATTGTATTTAACTCTCTGTCTCTCCATTAAAGCTTCTTCATTCCCCCCCACAGCATTATATATGAAATTATATCCGGTGAAATCAAGTCACTTTACAATGCAAATAACCCTTTCTCTCATTGTTTCCAAGCCATTAATCACTCTCCGGCGGCCGCACAAACAATATTAAAATACAATTGGAAAGAAAGAGGAGTGTCATTTGCTAACTTAATATTCCAGCCATGCAGCAGATGAAATTGTTCCATTTAACATAATGAAATTCATAATTCACCAGCTGGAATGCTGTGAGCTCGCCAAAACAAATGACAACTTACCCTCGCCATAACACTGAAATATTAATATTTTACAAAGAGCCATTTCAAATATGTATGAATGTTAAATTATTTCATCCAATATGTAGATATGATGATATATCATATATATATATTTGTGGTTTACATCTTTTTTTAAATGAAATCCGTGTCGGTAAGAGCATATAGTCATGGATGGCAGTCATTTTAGGATGCGTGTTCATCATGCAGAATATTACAATTATGTACTAATATACTGGTTTTAAAACTTATAGAGAAATCTCATAAAAAGCGCGAGGTCCTTAATTCCCCTGCTCTTGAGCAGGCCCTGGTCTCAGTGGGACCATGCTTCTCATCTTGAGCTCTTCTCTTTATTTCTTCTTGGATTTTCACATCCAGTCTATCTGTTCTGTTCTTCTTCCAACCATTAACTTCTCATTTATTTTATACTTATTAATTTTTTCTTTTCATCGTTCTATTTTCAATCCTTCTGTCTTTCTGCTGACCTTAAACAGGCCTTGTTCCTCTCCCAAACTTCTCAAGACTTAATTCCTGATCTGTCGACCTTTCTTACTCTTCCATTCTCCTTCAGAGATCCACATTTCATATTCTTACAATAATCTTTCATCTGCCCTTCCAGTTGACCATGTCTCCAACCCATAGAGCACCACACTCAGCCTTCGACAGCCTTATCTTTAATACACACACAAAGCTTTATTACCGGTATTATACAGATTCACCACAGGAAGAAAGGAATCACAGATGGAGCTCCTGTGCTTCTCTTTAATACGAATCCCGGAATTTTCGTAGTTAGGCTAAATTTAGCCAACTTCTCTATATACACCTAGATACCTATTTAAATATTTTAATAAATTATTTTGGTAGGTATAAATATTCAGTGTCTACAAAATTTTCATTTCCTTACAAGTGAATTAATCATATGATATATACAGTATATTATTGTATATATTATGATGAATTTTATGTTTTAAAATATATAAATGATTATTTAAAAAAAAAACCTAATCTTATATATCTCTCCATGATTATCATAATATATTCTATATGTTAAGTACTATGATTATAGAATTGTTTCACATGCACATCACATGCATGAACATGTGAAACTTCTCATTTAGATATAATCTATTTTTGTTTAATTTTTTATTTAATTTGCGCACAGCGCAGTATATATGAAAAGAAAACATATCGTAAATCAATATATACGCTCTTGTAATTTTTAGATACTAAGGTATAATTTCAAGAGAGATTAAAAAGAGTTGAAGCTTATAATTTCCGGAGTGCAAGGCATGCCTAATGGAGTCGTGGATCAAAGACAATGCGGGAGAGGTAATGATAAGTTTGAGAGAGAGAGGGTAATTAGTGAAGTTGTGAGCTGAGGCAAAAAGTAAGGGAAGAAAATCCTTTACACAGGAGAGAAAGAACCTGCCGCCAGGAAGGTCGAAGTTCCCCTTCTGCGAAGATGGAATTAGTTTCTTTGCGCTTTAGTGGATGAACTGTGAACTAAGTGAAATGGTCTTTTGTCAGCTTTGCTCACCTTGGTGGAATGGCTTTCTTCTTCGTATAGTGCTAATTCGGAAGTTAGTCATTATGAACACACTATGTCCTGAACAATTCTCTTTACCTCATCGCTTCTCGGCCTTTTGGCTAAGATCAAAGTGTTGTCACTGTTCAACACTAGTACTGACAACCGAACCGTGGTGGAATAACCACTCAGGCTCTGGAGGAAATGCTACTCGAAGAAATAAGAGGCGGACCTTCCTGAAAGAGGACCTACCGCCCGGATCCGGAGGATCTAAAAGAAGAACTTTGTACAAAAATTTTCAAAATATTTCATTTTTATTTTAATTGAAGATACTTTGTAATTTATTTTAATATACCCTATGTTGAACATGTATTGGGTTGAATCTCTTCAATAAACTGTTTTAAATTTTCACCTCAACGTGTTTCCTTCCAGACTAGTTTAGAATTTTGGACTG